AGTTAGACCACACTTGGAATATTGTGTTCAGTTCTGGTCACCTCATTATAGGAAGGATGTGGAAGCTTTAGAGAGGGTGCAGAGGAGATTTACCAGGATGCTGCCTGGACTGGAGGGCAGGTCTTATGAGGAAAGGTTGAGGGAGCTAGGGCTTTAGTTATTGGAGCAAAGAAGGATGACACGTGACTTGATAGAGTGGATAGTCAGAGACTTTTTCCCAGGGCAGAAATGACTATTATGAGGAGGCATAATCTTAAGGTGACTAGAGGAATGTACAGGGGAGATGTCAGAGGTAAGTTCTTTACAGAGTGAGGTGGGTGCGTGGAATGTGCTGCCGGCAGTGGTAGTGGAGTCAGATACATCAGGGACATTTAAGCAACTCCTGGTTAGGCACATGGATGATAGTAAAATGTAGGGTACGCATGATCTTAGAGTAGGATAAGAGATTGGCACAACATCGTGGGCCGAAGGGCCTGTACTGTGCTGTACTGTTATATGTTCTGAGTTGGATGATCAGCCATGATTGTGAAAAATGGCAGAGCAGGCTCAAACGGCCAAATGGTTTCCTCCTGCTTCTGCGTTTCTATGTTTACAATATACAAGTATAGACTGTGAAGCACTTCGAGACATCCAAGGTCATAAAAGAGTACATTTAAATGCAATTTTAGTTTACTCTATCAATTACAAAAAAAGGATGGAAATCATCTGCAAGAAATGTAAGCCATTCTTAATTCCAAAGGCTCACATCCTCTAACAAGAAACCGTGTGAACTCTAGAGGACAGTTTAGTTTAATTTTCTATCATTCGGAAAACATTAGGTAGGTATTTCTGTGGAATTAAGGGTACAATTATTCAGTAACAGTAGTGACTATATTATATTCAGGCAAATTACCACAGTGCAAGACTGCAAATCCTGTGCTCTTTTTGAACAAAACATTCTTATTTTTGAGAAAAGTTAGCAAAATGTAATAGCATTCAGTACAGCTTAGGAGGAAGCATGGCGGTTTATGGTTGGCTTACCCTTGCTTCTAATTTGTACCTGTACATGTTAGCACACCACAGTGAAGAAAATCATAGATGGAAAGTAACACTGCCTGATACATTTAAAAACAGATAAACGTACTTGATACAATTAAGAAATCTGGATATTTTATGGCTAGGTGAGCTATGCACGTGCTGCTGCACCTAGCCGAAATGAGAAAGCAAATCTCAGCCACTGAAACAACAAACTATTACATCTGCCACATCTTCAAGTTAGGGAGGAAGTTAAGAAACCTAAAGGGAATTTTCAAAATTGCATATTATCTTGTTGTCCCTCCTTATATTGTCCACTCACAGGCAGGAGAAGATGACAGAGGATCTGGCTGAACTTTGATGGTTTCCATAGAGAATAAGAGAAAATTGAATTAAGTACAGATAATTACCACCTGTGAAACCACATACAGCATGAGTCCCCCAGCTTCAGAAGGGGAATGTGGGAGAACATCAAGGAGAAAATGCATACAAATATGTAATGAATTAGTGGTATACACAAAAAAAAAACGTTTTGTGAAATAAATACAGCTGAATTTAGACTGTAAGATAAAAACGGAAAATGTTGAAAACATTAAGCAAATGGGGGCATTTGTGTAGAGAGAACAGAATGTAATGTTAACTATGTTTTCCCCCCCAAGTTCTGATGAACAGTCATTAATCTGAAACAGTAGCTCTGTTCTCTCCTCACAAATGCTGCCAAAAATCCACAAACAGGACTGTCTGGGCAGACCCATTGTTTCAGCTTGTTCATGCTCCACAGAACTCATCTCTTCCTACCTTGAGTCAGCCTTCTCCCCCCGGTCCAATCCCTGCCTACATATATCCATGATTCCTTTGATGCCTTACATTGGTTTCAAAACTTCCAGTTTACCGGTTCCAGCCACCTCCTCTTTAGCATGGATGTGCAATCCCTTTACATGTCCATTCCCCACCAGGAGGGTCTTAGGGCTCTCCGCTTCTTCCTGGAGCAAAGACCTGAACCATCCCCACCCACCATCACCCTCCTCCGCTTGGCTGAGCTTGTCCTCACCCTCAACAACTTCTCTTTCAGCTCCTCTCATTTTCTTCAGGTAAGAGGGGTTGCCATGGGTACCCGCATGGGCCCTACAAATGCCTGTCTCTTCATGGGGTACGTGGAACATTCCTTGTTCCAGTCCTATTCCGGCCCCCACTCACAACTCTTTCTCCGATACATCAATAATATCGTCGGTGCTGCTTCCCTCTCTCGTCTGGAATTGGAAATTTTCATCAATCTCGCCTCCAATTTCCACCCTGCCATTACGTTCACCTTGTCTATCTCTGACTCCTCCCTTCCCTTCCTCAACATTTCTGCTTCCATTTCTGGGGATGGACTGGCCACTAATATCCACTACAAACCCACTGACTCCCACAGCTATCTGGACTATACATCCTCACACCCTGCTTCCTGTAAAGACTCCATCCCATTCTCTCAGTTCCTCCGTCTCCGTCGCATATGCTCAGATGAGGCCAACTTTGACAAGCGAGCCTCCGAAATGTCCACCTTCTTCCTCAACCAAGGATTCCCCACCTCCGTTGTCGACAGGGCCCTCAATCAGGTCTGACCCATCTCCCGCACTTCTGCCCTCACCCCTTTTCTTTCCTCCTTGCAACAGCAATAGGGTTCCCCTTATCCTCCCCTACCAACCCACCAGCACCCACATCCAGAAGATCATCAGACGCCATTTCCGCCACCTCCAGCGAGATGCCACCACCAGACACATATTCCTGTCTCCTCCCTTGTCCGCCTTCCGCAGGGACCGTTCCCTCCGGGACACCCTGGTCCACACCGCCTTCACCTCCAACACATCCCCACAGTCCTACGGCACCTTTCCCTGCAACCGGCGAAGGTGCAACACCAGCCCATTTACCTCCTCCCTCCCCAGTATCCAAGGGCCAAATATACTTTCCAGATGAAGCAACAGAATCTGGTCTATTGCATTCGCTGCTCACAATGTGGTCTCCTCTACACTGGGGAAACGAAGCGTAGACTTGGCGACCGCTTCACAAAACATCTACGTTCTGCTCGCAAAAAGCACCCTGAACTACCTGTTGCCTGCCACTTTAATGTACCACCCTGCTCCCTGGCTAATATCTCGGTCTCTGGCTTGCTGCAGTGTTCCAGCAAGGCCCAACACAAACTGGAGGAACAACACCTCATTTTCCACTTAAGGATACTACAGCCCTCCGGGCTCAATATTGAGTTCAATAATTTTAGGGCCTAAACTCTCCCTTGTCCCAGCCCCGTACCCCACACACCAGGCCTTGTTACCTGCCATTACACACCCCCTGCTGTTAGTCACTAACAGTCCCCTTTAACAACTATTCACCCTCCCAGCCTGATCGTTAGCAACTCCTTTCTCTGTCCAACTGTCTTTCTCTCTCTTTAGGCTCTATCCTATTGTTTACTCCCTACCCCACCCACCTCCCTATTTTCTGCATATAAACTGACGTTTTCCCAGCCACCATCATTTCTGAGGAAGGGTCACCGAACCCGAAACGTTAACTCTTTTTTTCCTTCACAGATACTGCCAGACCTGATGAACTTTTCCAGCAACTTTGTTTTTGTTGCTGCCTGACTTGCTGAGTATTTCCAACATTTTGTTTTTATTTCAGATATGCAGTACCCTGCTTTTTGATTAGAATATAAGATATTTATTTTGTAAGACAGGTGGTATGTAAGAGGCACAAAAACTTTTCTCATTAGACTTTGCCACATTGTATAAAAGAATCTAGGGCTCTAACAAAAATATTTCATGCTTTCACAAATCAATGGAATAATGGGAAGTATCTGGAGTGGAAGAACGCTCAGTGAACAACTCAAGTTAAGGTGATCTGAGAGGCAGACACAAATACACAGCAGTGAATTCGGCATGATATTTACTCATTGTTGTCATTTACTTACGGGTTATTGGAGATGTGAAAAGTGGAAATAAGCCTGAAAATATGTAGAAAAGAAGTGAAATGTCTTGGCCTTTTAATGTCTGTGCCTCATTTACAATAGGTCATTTTTTGACTACCCTCCATATATCCTACTGTAATAGGTTTCTGTATAATAACATTTATCAACTAATTCCTCAATCCTATTAGATCCTTAAAAACTTTGTGGAACAAACAATGAACATTTTCTCCAAGTAATTCTGAACATAGCTGTAGCAAATTTCAGCCAATCTGATCATTTTGCAGAGGATGTTACCGAAACTGGAGGGTTTGAGTTATAAGGAGAGGCTGGATAGGCTGGGACATTTTTTCCCTGAAGCGTAGGAAGTTGAGGGGTGATCTTAGAGAGGTTTGTAAGATCATGAGGGACATAGATAAAGTGAATAGCAGAAGTCTTCTCCGTAGGGTAGGGTGCATTCAAATCTAGAGGGCATAGGTTTAAGGTGAGTGGGGAAAAGATTTAAAAGGGACCTGAGGGGCAACTTCTTTATACAGAGGGTGGTGAGTATATGGAATGAACTCCCAAAGGAAGTGGTAAATGCCGATACAGTTGCAACATTTAAAAGACAGTTGGATATGTATATGAATGGGAAAGGTTTACAAGTATATGGGCCAGAAGCCTGGTCAACATGGACAAGTTGGACCAAAGGGTCTGTTTCCGTGTATATTACTCTAACTGTCCTGCCATTTCTTATATAAATCACTAGATATTACTCTGGAAGGCTATAAAAAAAAAACAAGTGAAGTTTTTAGTTGGATATACTGTTGACCAGTTTTCTTTTTAAACGATAAATTAGTTTAGTATTACATTTCTGCCAGCAGACTACGGGGACAAAGTGTGGCACAGATGTGTTGCTCCACAAGCTGCACAATAACACAGGCGCTTCAACTAAACATTTTTAATGTGATCCTGCAGGCATTTTCATTCTACCTTATATGTTTTTATGGGTTATTTTGCAAGTGGAAAGGTTTCAGCAGCCCATCCTTTCTTAGTTTTAATTACTTGCCTGGAGGTCTTTGACATTTGGAAAAGGAATGCCTATTGTAACCACGGCACGGGCATTATCATCAGTGAAATCAAGTCCTTCACTGACTTTTCCCCTGCAAACAGCTACCAAGAGAGCTCCACCTAAGAACAAAAACAGAAAGAAAAATCAAGGCACTGCACCAAAAGGACAGTTAAAAGGGTAAAGATAAATCAGCTTGCAAAAGATTACTAGCCATAGATATGTAAACATTTTGAGCTGGGCTAAAAGGTCCAGCAAACATCAGTCATTTCAGTGTATCATATATGCAGCTTAGTCTGTAGTGGCTTTGGTCATTACAGCACATTCCGTTTATGTTCACAAATGGGCAGCTCAAGAATTTGCGCAAGTCTTTTTTCAGAATTCACCTTATGCAGCCACAATATGTATTTGTGCAGGCAAGTCTTATTGCTGCACATGTGCGAACTATTCAGGATAATTAATAAGATGAATGTATTGGGTCTAATCGGAACAGAAGGTAAGGCACTGGATGTTTCACAGAATGCTGGGCTACAAATAAGAGATGTTTTAAGATGGCAACGTCTTTGGCTGTCCTTTGAACTTAAAGTAAAACAAATTACCCTGGAAAATGGAGAGGTTGTGAAGCAACATTGAATGCAACTCACCAACAAGTCAGATAATGACTATCACTGAGACTGCGGGACCTGGTTAACATAAAAACATAGGAACACAAGAAGGCCATTTACCTTTTGAGCCTGCTCCATCCCTTAATATGATCATGGCTAACTGAACACTTCAACGCCTTTTACCCACATTAACCCCTTAATCCCTTATTCCATTGCTAATAAAAAAAAATCAACCTCTACTTTAAATATACTCAAAGACTGAGCTTCCACAGCCATCTGCAATAGAAAATTCCAAAGATTCACAACTGTCTGAGTCAAAAGATTTCTCTTCATCTTGGTCCTAAATGGCATATCACAGTTAGAGAATCGGATTATAACAATTGAAGAAATTACACAATTCAGGAGCTAACACCAAGACAGACTAACAAAAAATGAAGCCAGAGGGATCCAACACACCCTGCTTCTATGGACTCTCTAAGGTACACACGCCAGGGGTCCGCCTCAGACCTATTGTCTCACTACCAGGTACACCAATATATAGACTAGCCAAAGAACTACAACAGAAACTGAAATACTTAGTAAACAACACTACCCACTCCATCCAGTCCTCCCAAGAATTCCTCAACATCACCAGGGGCACCAGAATAGAAGAGGACGAGATAATGATATCCTTCTACATAACAGCACTATTTACATCCATAAACACTGACCTAGCCAAAGAGACAATTGCCACACTGCTGGATGAATCAGGAAGGCAAACACCTCACAGCACCAACAGCATCAACAAGGACAGCACCCTGAAACTTCTGGATCTGTACCTTACAACCCACTTCACCTTCAATGCCCATATATTCAAACAAATCAACAGAACATCAAATGTATTCCAGATATCAGGGTTGATTGCAGACGCGGTGATGCAAAGGTTACAACGGACAATGCTCCCAACTATATAACCCAAACTCTGGGTCCGCTATTTAGATGATACCTTCGTGATTAACAAATGCACAAGACTAGAAGAAACTCAATGACACATAAACAATATCCTCATCGGAATAAAATTCACAAAAGAAGAAGGGAACAATAACTGACTCCCCTTCCTGAATGTAATGGTGGAATGCAAGAACAACAGGGAACTCCAGACCAGCGTACACAGAAAGACCACACATATGGACCAGATACTTAATTACACCAGCAACCACCCCAACACCCATAAATGGAGCTGCATCAGGACATTGTTCAAATGAGCCATAACACACTGCAGCGACCTGGAATTATGCACAGCAGAACAGGAGCACTTATACTGAGTTTTTAAAAGAAATGGATACCCAAAAAGCACAATCCACCATTACCTCCGCGACAGACCACAACAAGAAGACACAATACGGACAGACACACACCAGTCACCCTACCGTACATCAGATACATATCAGAGATGGCCACAAAACTACTCAGACCCCCAGGTATCAGGGTAGCCCACAAACCAACAACCAACAACCAACCTGCAACGGCGACTGATGAACGTATAGGATCCCATACCCACAACCAACAAAACTAACATAATATACAAAATACCATGCAAGGACTGTGAGAAACATTACATAGGCCAAGCTGGAAGAAAACTCACAATAAGGATGCAGGAACACCAGCTAGCCATCAAGAGACACGACCAGTTCTCACTGGTCTCAATACAAAGAAGGATACGAATTCGCCTGGGACAACACATTCATAATAGGACAAGCCAAACAGACATGTCAAGGAATTCCTGGAGGTTGGCATTCCAACCGGAATTCCATTAACAAACAGATTGAACTGGATCTGATAGACAAACCACTGAAAAACAGAACCGAAGTGATGCCAACCACTCCCAGCAAACAAACGCATATAAAAAACAAGGAGGACAGAAGACCAATGCTTCCTGGAGGTACACTGATGATGTTACCTAGCAGGGTGACGCAACGTCTGTAATCAAACACACCTGCTCGGCGAACAAGTCTACAATCTCATCCACAACCTGAGCTACAAATCTTCTCAAAAACTTTGGGCATATCACGTCCTTTACATTGTTCCCCCAGATCTAGATTCTCTGAACCCAGACAGCTTTCTCATGCAGGAAACCAGAGCACCGGCTGAAACACACGCAGACATGGGGAGAACATGCAAACTACGCACAGAAAGTCACCTAACACTGGAATTGAACCAGATCCCTGGTGCTGTGGGGCAGCAGATCTAACCACTGAGCTTTTGTGCATGTTAGCTGTTTACACTGAATGAGCAACTGTGAAGTTGATAGGATTAAAGTGCTGAAGGCCATTAATGGGCTCTATATTTGTCATTTTCATCGACACCCATTAAAAATGGATTCAGATGCACAGAATGGCCTCCAGTACCTCATACAACACCACAGGAAAACTCTTCTAATCTTTTAATATGCGTGGTATATTTGGGGTTCTTCTAACAAACAACTGGGCCCCATTTATCAATGGGGAGTTTCATACCTTTATGAAGACAAAGGGGGTGAGGCACATCCACATGGCACCCTACCATCTGTCCTCAAGGTCTGGCTGAGTGGGCAGTCCAGGTATTTAAAAGTTGTATGCAAAAGCAAGCTGCTTGTACATTTCCTCTTGATAGGACAATGCCACACATGACAATGGGAGTACCCTGATGGAACTATTGACAGGCTGACATATTTGGACTAGGCTTAGCCTGACATTCCCAAAATTGGGCAGTAAGGTTAAATTAAAATAAGAAACCCAGAAAAGGGCTAAAATGGGCATAGGTTGGACAATATAAAACAAACATAAAGAAAACAATGCAATATGGCATTTAGGGGGCTCTTGTGTTGCAGTGGTAGTGTCCTTAACCCCCCAATCCAGGGGTAGGGATGGTACCACGGTGCCACAAGAGGGCCAATGCCATATTTCATTCCTGGACACAAAATGAGAGGCACCTGATTTCACTTTGTGGAGACTTACAGGGTTCCCAAGCAGACAGATTACAAAAAACTGTAGACACAGAGAAAGAGAGAGAGGAGTGAGGGAGTCTTGAAGAGAATCAGGAAGAGCAGACACTGTGGTCAGAAGAGGAAAAAAAGAATATTTTTCTCGATCAGCTACCAGACAGAATGGGGTGGTAAGACATTTTCCAGTCGAAGAGACAGAAATCTGTAGAAATTTAAAGACACTGGAAAATGTATTCCGTCACAACCAAAGAAGCAACCAGTGGAATGAGTATGCTGAAGGTAAATAATCTTCAATGATCATTGCTTGTTACCATGTAGCAAATCAAGGAGAAGTGAGTGATTCAAAGGTGTGCCTAAAATGAAACTGTTTCCTGTAAAGACTATCATTCCACAGTGCGTGTGCTGCATAAAGTATGTGGATCTGGATTATTTATGTGTGTTCATACACTAACAAAGGATGACTTTGCTGTAGTTTAGAATACTTGCTGCTTATGAAGTAATGTTTAATTAATGTTGCTTTTGAAAATCTCAAAACTTGAAATAATTTAAGTTATTAAGTTGGTCACTAAGAATTCAACTTTTAAAAACAATTAATAGTTTCTACATGGATCAAAGCAGTTGTCATTAGAACTAGAATTAGCTCTGGTTCTACTCAATAATGAATACAGGTATTTTAATAAAATGAAACAGGACACCAGTACAGACATTATTAAATCAACCATGCCTGGGGCAGGTGGGATATGAACCTTCTGGCCCAGAGCTCCAAATAATGAATATATCACTAAATGTAGATTTCCTCACATCCATAAATGATTTAATAGATAATATTTCTTAGTTAAATTCTACAGTCATAGAGTCATACAGCATGGAAACAGACCTTTTGGCCATACTTGTTCATGCCAACCAGATTTCCTAAACTAAACTAGTCCCACTTGTCTGTGTTTGACCCATATCCCTTTAAACCTTTCCAATCCATGTACCAGTTCAAATGTATTTTACATGTTGTAACTGTACTCACCTCAATTAATATACATGATTTCTTGCATCATATTAACTTTTGTTTTGAAAATGATTTTAACATGGAGTTGCTTATATACCTCTGATTGTGCTCTACCAAACTTAATGTTGACACTGTCTGAAAATGCCTCACTTCAGGTTATGAATGCAAGTCCTAATTTGACTTTTAATTCACATAGACCATTTGTTTTTCAGTGCAAATATTGAAATGTAAATATTTTTGTAGATTATAATGACTGATATTTTCTCAACGGTGTACCTTTGCTTTCTTTATCCTTTATGACCTTATAGTAGAACTGCATCAATGTATCAAAGTCACTTTTGTCACCCCCTTTTGGCTCAACAATAATGGCTTTGATCTCCTCCAGTTTTTCCCATAAACCTGTGAGCATCCAACGATTCTGCAGCTTGTCCAGCATCTGCAAACAGGAGGAAAACATTGTTTAAGGAGGGTTGAAAATCTCAAAATCAAGTTAATGAATTTCATTTCCAAAGAATTATTCACCTCAAAATCTCATAAAATATTGACAGGGAATGAAGACTCGTATAGTATTCTTATTAATTTGAATGAAATAGCAATTAATTATTTAGATCAGAAGATGCAAACATCCTTCAGTTTTTCAAGTAGTACATTCAATCTTTATTATTTCATTCATAATTTCTTTCCTTCACATTTAAAATAGAAACTGCCAATACAAGACTGTTACAGTGTAATTATCCACATTTGCCATTGGTGAATGGCAGAGTATTTATCAATTAGTGGATATAATTCTGGGGGATAAGTTTACACAGGCAGCTTTCATTAGAATATAGACGTGGGAATTTATTACAGAACCAGCTGACAGAATGTGTATTCAATGATTATAGGTTAGCATGGGAAGCATTTCCAAAATATTCAAAAGAGTTTATGTTTTTGAAACTTGGGTGCTGTGGGGTTTATTTAGCTGTGTAAAAACATATCATCCTGTTAACATGAAAATTGGTTATCATGAGTTAAAGAAAAGTAGCTTTTAGATTCTAAACCCAGTTTTCCAGATGCCAGCCTTGCTTTATTATTGCAGGTAAAAGCTTACATTCAATTGATAATGTTCATTCCATCAATTGGCTAGGAAATCTAACGTTTACATACTTACTGTTAGCAATAATTCCCTAAAGTATTCTCCATTTACCAACATGGAAAGTGCTTGCACTTTATGGTTTCACTCATGCAAAATTCCAATTAGCAGGTTGTACATATTTTCAATGACTGAAAAGTCAAAAATTTAAATGTCAATATTGAGTAACCCCCAAAGGATTTAACACCAACTGGGCCCAACAACAATGTACTGTGGTTGCATTATTATTTCTCCTGAGGAATGCTAAGTACAGATATTCAGCTGTGTTACTGTCTAAAGCACATGGTTTCACAATTATTAAAATCATTAGTAAGGTACAAATAAGACTTGTCTCAACTATGTCAAATTCATAAACAGTAACTTTTTTTTTTAAAAAATCACCTTGATGTTGAATATACATTAAGGAATGTGAACACGAATGAGGGAAACAAAGAATGCCCGACTTCAAAAAAACCTTAGCTGAAATTCCCAAGACCTTTTATCACCAAGAACTGAACATAAATAAAAGGAACACAAATGAAAACTACATTATTTCACTTTCAAACACTACTACTTTTGGACACAGATTTTAAATTATAAGATAGGAAAAATAGGAATGAAAGATAAATGAAGAGATATTGAAAGAACATAAAATTAGAAATAATAGTCAGAAAATGGGGAAAAGACCCAACAGTTAATGTTTTCTTTTATTCATTCATGGGATGTAGGTGTCATTGGCCAGGCCAGCATTTATTACCCATCCCTGTGTCAACGACTTTGCTGTGCATCTGGAGTCATGTGTAGGCCAGACCAGGTAAGGACTGCAGATTCCTCCCCTAAACAGCATTAATAAACCAGATAGGATTTACTGGCAATCCACAATGATCATCATGGTCAGCATTAGACTCCTAATTCCAGATATGTATTGAACTCTATTTCTACTATCTGCCATGGCAGGATTTGAACCTGTGTCCCGAGAACATTACCAGGGTCTCTGGATTAATAGGTTAGCAATAATACCACAAGGCCATCACCTCCCTGAAATTAGAGTTATCTGGACTACATATACTGTACCACTTTTCTGTGGATTTTGCTTTGCAGAAATGGCAAAAATTGGCAAAATGATACCGCAATCAAATTTCAGCTTAAGATTCCTTGTATTTAGGATTGTAAATATCTTTACAGTTTCACCAGCAGTATGTATTATGAAAATACTGATAAAGTCCAACATATTCTTTTGTGATGCTCCAATCAGTTGGAGGATCGATTAGTTTCCTGTTTATATAATTTAGTTCCAGAAAATGCAAAACTGAGACACTATTGACGCTGAACAAAGAGACAGCAGAGAGCAGGGTTCTTAACATGAAGAGGGCAAAACAGCCAACCAGGTGAGGAATGCTGCGCTCAACCAGGTTACCAATGGTCACAGTGCCAAAAATGCAAACTAGAGAAGCCTTAATTCTCTATAGAACCTGGTCTGCTCAGTCTAATTGTGCGATAAACTCTGATTATTCAACTCTAGGATATATCACAGTTGCTCAAAGTGCTTTTCAAGATTTCCACCATCTTCATTTCAGAAAAAGAATCTTCAAGCAAGTAGCAGGCCTATATCTATAATAAACTTTCTTTTACATACATCTTTTATCCATATCTGCTTATAATCTTTGTATATGTATTTAATCTAATAATTATCACCACTTCTAAAATCAGTAACTTTCAACAGTGAAGTGGTGCAATAAAGTAAACTTTGTTTGTTTAAAACTAAAGATTTGCTGCTAGTTATTTTCAGATCGTAATACTCAAAATACAAAAAGGAGATTAAAGGAATTCAGAGGTCACAGAACATACTGAGGACATGCATAATGTACTCATGATTACTATCTCATCAAGTTATAAAATTCAAACTAAGTTGATGCTGAATGGGCAGGGCATTAGGATTTGGATATAATTTAATGCCTCTTTCTTAGAACATAGAGCAGTACACCACAGTACAGGCCGTTGGGCCCACGATGTTGTGCCAACCTATTATCCTACTCTAAGATCAAACTAACCTGCATTCCCTTCATTTTACTATCATCCATGTGCCTATCCAAGAGTTGCTTTAATGTCCCTAATGTGTCTGATTCTACTACTACCACTGGCAGTGCATTCCATGCACCTACCACTCTCTGTGAAAAGAAGCTAGCTCTGACATTTCCCCTATACGTTCCTCCAATCATCTTAAAATATGCCCCCTTGTGATAGCCATTTCCGCCCTCGGAAAAAGTCTCTGGCTATCCACTCTGTCTATGCCTCTTATTATCTTGTAAACCTCTATCAAGTCACCTGTCATCCTTCTTCGCTCCAATGAGAAAAGCCATAGCTCCCTCAACCTTTCCTCATAAGACCTGCCCTCCAGTCCTGGCAGCATCCTGATAAATCTCCTCTGCACCCTCTCTAAAGCTTCCACATCCTTCCTATAATGAAGCGACGAGAACTGAACACAATATTCCAAGTGTGGTCTAACCAGGGTTTTATAGAGCTGTAGCATAACCTCGAGCTCTTAAACTCGATCCCCTGCTAATGAAAGCCAACACACCATACGCCTTCTTAACAACCCTATCAACTTGTGTGGCAACTTTGAGGGATCTAAGGACATGGACCCCAAGATCCCTCTGTTCCTCCACACTGCCAAGAATCCTGCCACTAACCCTGTATTCTGCATTCAAATTCAACCTTCCAAAATGAATCACTTCACACTTTTCTGGATTGAATTCCATCTGCCACCTCTTTGCCCAGCTCTGCATCCTGTCAATGTTCCGTTGCAACCTACAACAGCCCTCCACACTATCCACAACTCCACCATCTTTCGTGTTATTGGCAAACTTACTAACCCACCCTTCCACTTCCTCATCCAAGTCATTTATAAAGATAATAAACAGCAGAGGTCCCAGAACAGATCCCTGTAGAACACCACTGGTCACCAAGCTCCAGGCTGAATACTTTCCATCTACTAATACCCTCTGTCTTCTATTGAACAGCCAATTCTGTATCCAAACAGCCAAATTTCCCTGATTCCCGTGCATCCTTAATTTCTGAACGAGCCTACCATCCTCAAAGGATTCAATAAGCCTTGTGAGGCATGACCTGCCCCTCACAAACCATGCTATTTCTAATCCAACTATGCTTTTCCAAATAATCATAAATACTGTCTCTCAGAATCCTCTCCAATAATTTGGCCACCACTGAAGGAAGGCTGACCAGTCTGTAATTCCCAGGGTTATCCCTATTCCCTTTCTTGAACAAGAGAATAACATTTGCCACCCTCCAATCATCTGGTACTACTCCAGTGGACAGTGAGGACGCAAAGACCATCACCAAAGGAGCAGCAATCTCTTCCCTCGCTTCCCATAGAAACCTTGGGTATATCCCATCTGGCCCAGGGGACTTATCTATCTTCATGATTTTCACAATTTCTAGCACATCCTCCTTCCTAACATCAACCTGTTTGAGCATATCAGCCTGTTTTACGCTATCCTCACAAACGACAAGGTCCCTCTCACTAGTGAATACTGAAGCAAAGTATTCATTAAGGACCTCCCCTACTTCCTCTGACTCCTGACACAAGTTCCCTCCACTATCCCTGATCAGCCGTACCCTCACTCTGGCCATCCTCTTGTTCCTCACATAAGTATAGAACACCTTGGGGTTTTCCTTAATCCTACCCTCCAAATCTTTTTCATGCCCCCTTCTAGCTCTCCCAAGTCTATTCTTCAGTTGCTTCCTAGCTACCTTGCAACCCTCTAAAGGCCTGTCCGATCCTTGCTCCCTCAACCTTAAGTAAGCTTCCTTCTTCCTCTTGACCAGATGTTCCACATGTCTTGTCATTCAAGGTTCCTTCTCCTTACCATCCCTTCCTTGCCTCAGTGGGGCAAACCTATCCAACACCCTCAGGAAGTGCTCCCTAAACAACCTCCACATTTCTGTCATGCACTTCCGTGAGAACATCTGTTCCCAATTTATGCTCCACAGTTCCTGCCTAATAGTATTGTAATTCCCTCTCCCCCAATTAAATACTTGCCCATACCATCTGCTCCTATTCCTCTCCATAGCTATAGTAAAGGTCAGGGAGTTGGGATCACTCTCACCAAAATGCTCTCCCACCGAGAGATCTGACACCTGGCCTGGTTCGTTGCCAAGCACCAAATCCAATGTGGCCTCCCTTTAGTCAGCCTATCTACATATCAAGTCAGGAATCCTTCCTGGACACACCTGACAAAATCTGCTCCATCCAAACTATTTGCACTAAGGAGGTTCCAGTCAATATTAGGGAAGTCAAAGTTACC